GTCACTGGGGAGCAATAAGCAAGTAAGTATGAAAAGATGCGAGCAATCTTTCAGCCAAATTTGTTCTGTTGTTATTAATACTTTGTCTTATAATTTTCCCGCAAGTTAACAGTGCCCATAGTCAACCCTTGGGCTATTCTTGTCTCACCGAATATTGGAATTTAACTGTCACTTTTATAGCGCAACCATGATTAAAAATGCAGATTGCGTTTATTCAGCAACGACTCGCAAATCATTAACCTTTGGGTTCATAGTTTGAGCATGATAAAGCGAGGCAAACCCGATCCAAATGTGATTTTAAACTGACCCTCTTATTTTTTAGCGCATTTCAAAGAATAATTGAAGAAAGCAGCTTTTTTTTTCTCTCAAAAGCCTAATAACATATAACTATTTATACAAAAACAAAAGCTCTCTATTCATACGTAAAATGAACCCTCTAAAAACGTTTATTACGTTGCCAAAGCTACGTGAAATACAAACAACACGTAATATCAGACAGAAAATCGTGATATCTTAATATAGTTGATCGATCATGAAGATAATCTGTTTGTTTTAGCGCAAAATTATTGAATCACTTTTTGTGTTGTAGCGTGAATCAATACCCTAATTTTAGCGTATTACTGAGTCACCTGTGAACTCAAAGTAATTAATGTCTTCTTGTAAACAAACATTTTAATTGCGCTTTGAAATTTCTTGTGTTCAAAGTTATTCTAAGTCGATATAACTGTAATTATGATTGTGATTAACATCTGATTATGATCTTCAAAATGCAACGTAATCGCAATTATAGAATATTTAGATGAGTGGTTGTTCTTACATAAGTTCGTCTTTTAGATATTTTTGAAATTTAAGGTAATCATTTAATAAATGTAGACTCGCAAACATTGTTTGAAACTTTTGCTCATGATCTATTATATGTACATTACAATAAATCTATACATTAATTTAATAGATGCTCAAACATTTCGTATTATTTGTGTCAGGCAATTTTATAATGTAGTTAGTAACTACACTGTAAAAACAAAACGTGACTCCAAAAACAGCTCAGATGTTGTTAAAACATTAAACATCTTTCGATACCCCCAGTGGGCAGAACACAGATAGCCCAATGTGTAGCTTTGGGCTTAAGTACGTACGAACAAGCAAAAAAAAAAAGAAAGAAAAAAAATACGATCTGTTTGTTGAATTTCGCGCAAAGCTATTCGAGGGATATCTGTCCCTAACTTAGAAGTGATAGACTAGAGGAGAGGCAACTAGTCAATACAACCTACCGTCAACTCTTGGACTACTCTAAGCGAATAGTTGGTTTTTGGCGTAATATTATAACAACTCTCTGCTGAAAGGGTGAGCATGCTCGGAGATGGGATTCGAACCCGCAACTTGCGAGTCGAGCGCCCTAACCATCAGGCCATGCCAAACCTAATCCGTAAGAAGAATGTAAATATATCCCCCCCCCCCCACCATACACACACACAGTGGCCCAGCGGTATGTTTATGGATTTACAACGCTAGAAACTGGGTTTCGATACTCATGGTGGGCAGAACACAGATAGCCCATTGTGTAGCCTTGTGCTTAAAACTACAAATAAACATTTTCAGTCCACTTTCTGCTTCACACTCCTGAAAGAGTGATATCACATGTTTTTTTAGAGTGCACTTATATAATAAAATAGTTATCGTCAACAGTATTTATTTTTGAAAAAAAAAAGGCATAAAAGTTCATTATAACAAGGTTGAAAACTTACAAGTCGAAAATGTTTATACTTGCCATTCGTTAAAACAGACATATGATAATTATTTCCCGAAGTGATAATAGCTTTCACGCCTGATGGTTCGGGTGTAACTGTAGGTGCTATGTCAATCCAGCTTAAAATATACGGTTGGTCATTGAAGGTCGAGTTTCTATAGGCATATATTTTATTTGTATAAAAAAGAAGGTGTGTTACTGTCCACTCCGATTGTTCTTGTGGAACCTTCATGTACATTGTTGCAGCTGCATCTACTCCCTTCAGTTGATCATATGCCACTTTTTGTGTGGTTGCTGCTGCTGCATATTCTGTTGATGTCACAAAATGTACCGTTGTTGTTGTTGCAGGGGATGTTGAGGACTCTACTGTTGCCGAGGATGTTGAGGACTTTTTTGTTAACGAGTATGTTACTGTCGTTGTAGGACTCCCTGATGAAGTATCTATCCGAGTAGTTGAGAGCAGTTGGGTTGTTCTCGAAGCTCCGCTTGGGATCGAACCACTTCCTGATGTAACCATCATATAACTGGGAATCGAATCTAGCGAACAAATCTGAACATATGCCACAAAGCGTATAAATTAATTTAAAAAAAGTTCAAGGAATTTATATAAGGGAAAAATAAAGTAATTACGAAGATGATATAAGATTACAATTAATGAAAAACATTTATTGCGAACAGTGGAATTTTTTATAAACATTTTGGTCAAATGAGCTGTTTGATTTTGAAATCGCAACAACAGTCTGTTGATATACCACATGCAACTAATTGAACGATCACTGTAAACATTTTACTTTAATGTAAATGTTGGCTCTTCATTTATGTTACAAAAAAAAAACGATACTGGGAAAGAATTGTTTGTGCATTAAAATATTATAGTACAAAGTGAAATATACCTGTTTTTTGAGGTACTTGTAGCATTTTGAAGTGTATTTACCACTATTATTGATGGG